AGATTGGGAGGAAATCTTGAGACGTCGCAGCAAGAGTGAGACGACGAGCGGCTCCAGAAGAATGCGAAGGAGAGCTACGACGGTGTACGCAGGAAGGACGAGCAGTTAAGAAACTCCTACAGAGGAGAATGCATATTTGTACATGTCAAACAGGCTTGCATAACAACGAAATACAATCAGTCTTCAATCTACCACGCCGAGCACACATCAAGCGCTTCACTAGTGCTGCTACAGAGCGCACAAGCAATCATCAGGTTATGAGCTCAACGGGTTACGACAAGACCTCACAACGACCAAACTCGCACGACGTCCACGACACCGATGTTCACGGGCTAAACGTGGCTGCAGTCCCTTTCGAGTAGTTCGAGGGGACGCATTCTGACTCAGGTGCGTCCGATGCTTCTGGTCAGGAAGGCCGGAACGCAAGCGCAAGCTCAGAGCGACTGGAAAGATTAGAAGGAATCTCGAAGGCATGGCGAAGCAACAGGCGCAGTTCATGGCTAATCAAGAAGAGCTGCAGAAGCAGATGCAGAAGCAGATGCAGCAGCGTATATCGTGCTTCAAGCATAAGTATGGAGACTCGAGCGTTTCACGGATTTCATCAAGGCTTGAGCCCGACGCATGAGAGTAGGATCTCTCGATACGTCAATGAGGACGGCAACTCAGGCAACGTCAGCGCCTGAGATGGCGACGCCACAGGCGGAGGACGTAACGAACGTGCAACTGCGGATGAACGTACCTACGGCGGCGCAGTTCGTACCGCCACCGAACTTCGGAATCAAGGTCCCAAGCCACGTGACCTCGATTGGGCGGGCTTCGTGAAGTTCACAGGCAAGGAAGTGTAGTCTGTCCTTGGTGCAGATTTTGAAGACATGGGGATTGAGATTCCTACAGGAACTCGTTGCAGAGCAGCGGATGAGGGATGGAGACTGGTCGGAGGAATTCCGGATTCTCGCACTGAATGGCAAATTGGATGGAGCTGCACTACTGTATTTTGAGAGAATATTTTCACGCTGGACGGCGAAGACGCCCACTTTGGAGCATGTAATGAATCGGATGCTGGTGCCGTACATGACGACAATTACGGCGTCCAAGGGGCT